GCTGGAGATATATTACTAATCACCAGAAGCGGCTTTACTGACGAGATGCACATGAAAATCGCATTTGATTTTTTACACAGCCCTAATTAGAAAACTTTAGTAGGCAGAGGGGTGGTTCCAGCCTTCTTCTTTTTTGTCCTTCACAGATCACATGCCTTTGTCATTTATTTTAAATGAACTTTTTTTTTTTATATATAAGAATAGAACTAAAAGGATTTCAACTAAAAATGGTTAATTTAAAACCTACATTTTATAATAAAACTGCCATCCATGAATAGTTCATTCAAATTTATATTTTAGTCAAAATGATTGCTTTGACTTGCTTTCTTTTGGTTGGCTTGTACAAGCTTTTTAGCACTTCAGTGTATTTAAAGTTTAATTGCATCTCACAGTTAGGACAAGCTGTTTTGCAAAATTGAAATACTTAAATGAGTTTGAATTAATAAGACAAAACAGTTAAGTTATGCACTGAAGAAACCTCTCAAATACATTAAACCGTATAAGCAATCTGTCAAAGCACCTGAATCTGTCGGCAACCACATGATATTCAATACTAAGCTAACTGTTTTCATATTAAATTTGTATTGATTTTATCAAATACTTGTTGCAGTGGTACGGTTCACAAAAGCTTGTTTTTCATAACTACTCCCTGCATGGATTTGATCATGCATTCCAGTTAAGTGTCCTGAATCACCTAATAATCTCTTCAGCCAGGGAATAACCCTCTCAGGGGGTCTCCAGAGAGCTGACTTTTAAAATCAGAATCTGTTTCAAGGGTTACGTTTGATTCACACATCTTGGAGTCGGTCCTTCAGTAATTACGGGTTGATCGGCTCAAACACCCTCGCTCAGTAACCACCGATGAAACTGCCATAGTCTGGACTGCAGTCGGCAAATAAATTAAGTTCTTAGAGGTATGTGTGTGAGCGTGAGCGAGTGAATGTATGAAAGTATGAACGTACACAGCGCAGCTGCCATCTACCCAAGAGGCTTTGGTGATCAAAGTGACACGAGGAAGGCTTTTTCAGATGAGATGGGGGACGTCTCAGCACGCACATACTTGCATACTTATACACAGGCAGGCTGATGGATGAACACACACAAAAAGAGATGCTCACAGACACACATAGAACACACTACTTGGATAACATTAGCTTTCCAAATGACTATGAGTTGTTGAATTGACTGTAAACAAGACTTTAATATAAAAAAGACCTCTATATTAATTACACAAATAATATCTTGATAGAACCATTTATACAATTAATATATTTTAATTAACAAATTTTGAATTAAAATTCAATTAAAATGTACATTGTAATTTATTCCTGTGATGTCAAACCTGAATTTTCAGTAGCTATTACATCACATGATCCTTCAGAAATCACTCTAATATGCTGATTTGATGCTCAAGAAACATTTTTTTTTATTATTATCAAATTATTAATGTTTAAAAACAATCTAACTGGCCCCAAACTTTTGAAAGGCAGGGTATATACATAAGTATTTACATCCTATAATATATACTATATATAATTATATTATACATATATGTACAGCTACAGTCGCCGTTCTGAGCGGTCCATGATCGGACTACCTTTTATTTTGTTTAATAACGGATGGAATGCCATCAATATTTGAACCACCAACTGTTATTTTATCCAGAATGTTGGCAAAAAGGTCTAAATTCATACTGAAGGTGCCAGGCAGCACAAGAAGAAATTTTGCTTTAGTTACAGTTTTCAAGGTCAAAATAAATGCGAAACATTGTGAAAATAAATAATAGACTGCATTCCCAGATATTTATATCCAGACAAGATTTCTCTGAGGACCCGAGTTAGCCGAAAAACAGTAGGTGATTTGCTGCATACATTTAGTTTTTTTGAGGTTGTGCAAGAAACACACAGACATGTTCAATGCAGATGAGAAATAAATCACAAAGTAAACAAGTTCTCTGAGAAAGCTAGTCCTATCGCTGTAGACCTAACACCACATATACCATCATTAAAAAAAAATCATATCAACAGTTGTACAAATACACACCTTAAATATCAGGTGTTTGACAGAGCTATAACCTTAAGTGCTGTGAGCTGATGATTGGAGATCTCCATCTAAACAATGTTTTATTTATTTTCTAACGGTTCGTCCTGCTCTTATATTTTTCCCCTTTATCCAGTCATCTCACAAACACATGCAACCAACCACGCGTGTCTAATACTTGGAAAAAAAAAAGTAGATTTAATCCTGTAGATCAATGGCAGAGCAACAATAGCGGGAGATTTCTACCTGAACATTGTTTTATAAGGGGATGGGGAAGGCACCCCGGAAGTGGTAGGGCTCGGCTTATAATAAAACCAACGAGATATTTTTCCCGGATTCTGCTTTCAATCACAGCTTTACTTTCTTCTGGAAAAGAAAAGTGGAATACAACAGTGCACTTTCCTTCTGGCAAATCCTGTGTCAGATATGAATCATCTTCCCATTTTGGGGAGAAAAAAAAAAAAAGAGAAAAGTGGCACGGAGAGGGAGACAGAGTCAAGAAACACTGGATAAAATGTCGAAGATTTTATCTCGGCGAATATTTGTGATAACTGTGATTGTTGTGCACTTGCAATTCAAATATGGCAATTTTACATGAATACAGAAATGCCATGAAAAGCACTTCAAATAAATTAACAAAGTACAAACGTCTCTGAAGTGCTTTGGGGTGCGTGTGCACGGTCTATGGTTGTTCATGCCGCTCTCAAAAAGTATAATCAAGCCGTTAAATGGTATTCGCTTTCGTCTTATTTTATTAATTTATGTATATGGCAAACACATTTGGCTGATCAAGGTCGGATCATTGCAAATTGATGAGAGAAAGTCAAGAATTTAGGACAGAAATATTAATGTATCATAGTGGAAAAAATAGCATAAAAAATTAAATAATGCATACAAATAGAATAAACTTGAGAATAAAAGAAAAATACACTAAATTTAAAATAATAAAATTTTAGATGAATAGAAAGTAGACTCAAATATTTTAAATATTTGTAAATATGTTAACATTATTATTCATGTTATACACTTTCTCATATTTGTTCACAAAAGAAAATCATATATTTTGTTGATGTATGATTCAATGTTCAATGTGAATAAAGTACTTCTTCATAAGGTGTGTGTAATTAAGCTTCCGCTGCGTGCAAACGTCACGAACGAAACAAACAGAAAAATTGGTTAACCTCAGTTATTTGAATGACAATTCAGCATCAGCCAAAATATCAAGGTCGTGACAGCTCTAGCAGCGATGACTCACCTGTGTCTTCCCCAGCAGCTTATATGCCAGCTGAACTTTGGTGTAGTGAGAAACATCAAAGTGTTTGCAGGTTTTGGACAGTGCCACATCTAGCTGTTCCTGCACAGACGAGCATGAAATCAGCGAGATCAGCAAAGGAAGTTCAATGGCATAATTTGAGTGCATATGGAAAGCAGATACAGTCAAAAAGAACTTAGGCAGCGATGACTCACCTGTGTCTTCCCCAGCAGCTTATATGCCAGCTGAACTTTGGTGTAGTGAGAAACATCAAAGTGTTTGCAGGTTTTGGACAGTGCCACATCTAGCTGTTCCTGCACAGACGAGCATGAAATCAGCATGTGGAATATAGTGCATATGGAAAGCAGATACAGTCAAAAAGAACTTAGAAGCCTCGTTTTATGGTGCTGAAATGTACAATTACCACAAATGAATGAGGGCCATAATAATCAATGGTTTAAATCACTGATGATACTGAACGCACAACTTCATTTTGAGCTCAAAGATAAGCATTCACATTCTTAATGAGTTGGGACGTGCGCTGCTACAGAAATAGAAAAGTGGCGTGAATCATTGTAATTTTGGTAGCAGCGCTCTTTGTTGGCACAGGCGCCATGCTATTCGCTAATGCATGTGATGAGACAGTGAATGAGATAAAAAGATGGGGAGGAAGGGAAAAGAAAGAGTGAGAGACAGATATTAAAAGAGAAACATGAAAGAATAGGGAAAAAGAGCAAGTTAATGAGTAAAGGAGTTGTATGCCAGGCTGGACGCCATCCAATTACATTTGTCTCACAGAAATCTCTGCATAATATAGCAGATAACACAAACAGCACTGCTGGGGAAACTGTGTGTGTGTG